AAAGTGCTTGTGACTGATAGTAATACTGTGTGTATCCAAAAAAAAAGCTGTCCGTATACCTAAAGAGACTGATCGATAACAAACATTAATATCAACAATGAGAAGTTTAAAACTCTAATAACTTAACTGAATTTTCTTCTGTTAATAATCAACTACATCTTTCGTGTCTAGTTCTTTTGTTTCTTGAAAGTAGTTCACCAATACTTTTTATTACAACAGCAAAGTAATCAACCATATTGTTCAATTATTTCCTCACTATATATTTGTGAGTAGATTTTGTCAACTTTATACATTTTAAAGTAGAGTGAATTTTTTAATGAAAAATTAAAGTCAGAATGGGGATTTTATAGATATTATAATAATTTTTTAATAGTTGAATTCATGAGTCAATTGAAGCTAGACCATCATTGAAAACCTGAAAGCATTGGACGGTTGTTTCATCTTAGTATAGGATCATATGTATGGGTTCATATATGAAGTCTTTTGATGAATTAAATCTAAACATTAATAAATATTTCATTTATGTTAAGGATAGAAAAACTCTCACTTTCGGTAAATAAACTAAGGGAAGAAAGAAATACATTCAATACCTTTTTTAATATATTAAACTACAGTGAGTTGAAATTTTCATTGGATTATGTAATTCTATCCTAATTAAATAAATTACTCAGTGAATAGTCTATATAAGTTTATTCGCTTATTTACATCATAATATTAGTTTACTGAGAGCATATATTAGTATATTTGTATTGCAGCTAACAGAAGAACCCAAGATAGGCATTTAATCCTAACGGGGACTCATTAGCTGGATGTATATTCATCCCACTATGTTGTTGTTATTGTTGTTCACACTTAGACTTGAATTTAATAACTATAGGTTCATACGTTATTCGCTCAATTATCAATAGCGACTAACTCGTTCAATGGATACGATGTTTATTCAAAAGACTTTAAATTATCGCGTTATTTATATGTCCAAGAGTGAATTTCGAACTGTCGTCGGTAGAATACGGTCTACAAAATTAAATTCGATTATATTGAACAGCTCTTTTAATAAATCCTCAAATCCTTGGGCTCAGTAACAGGCAATGAATTCACTTAAACTATGTTTATTATCTTAATATTCACTTCACTTATTGAATAATATGATGTCAGTCAGTCAGTCAGCAACAATGTAGAACTTCGTACGTACGTACGTACATCAGTTCAAGTTGCTATGCTACATTAGCACAAAGATACAAATATCGATTCGAATCCTATAGTGGTAGAGGTAGTAAGAGTATAAGCAGTAATTGGAAGGATTAGGGTTTGAAGATGTTGTTCAACGAGTATAATCCAGTGAAACAAATTTGGAAACAGAAAAAAAGGACATAAAGAATTCGGAAGATTAGAATTTGGTAGAACATAAAGAATGGATGCATCTACGTTATTGCAAACGGTTTTGAGCTATGTCATTCAAAGTCTCTAACCATCGGTTGTTATTGTCTCGCGGATTCCAACCAGGCAGTCCATACCTACCAACATGACTCAGACCACTTGTCAGTGACTTCATAGATTTATGCCATGTTTTGGTCTGGCCGCCCCTAGCTTTCTTCCAACCTACTCCTACATTCGGTGGTTGGACATAAGTAACACATATCCCAGCCATTTTAGCTGATGAAGTCTCACTACTTCATCAATTGATATGATGTATTTTGCTGGAAAATGTCTTTAACCTAAAATAATTGAACTTAATCTACTAACCAATTAAAAATTTGTGTACATAACTTTAAGTCATGTTTTGTGTATCAAAACAAGTAACTAACAGGGATGCTTGAAAAGCATTAAGTAATTTGGCGTTTGAAGTTTCAGTATATTTGTTGAAATGTCATAAGAACTACTAGAACATAGTTCCACTAACAGCAGACTACTCATTAATTCAGTTGTTGTTGTTGTTTGTTTTTTTGTTAAACCAATAACGACTTTATCACATTGACTAATGTTATTCATTATGAAACATAATGAAAACTTAAGTTTCAGTCGGGAATTCGCAAAGTGTTTGAACAATTTCATTAATTGAGCTGAATCAGTTTGATAGCTAAACTTTAAATGACAAAAGAGTACCGTCTAATTTTTAGGGTTATTCCTATCTTTCTAAATAATAACTAATGTCAGAAGCGGCTTTGTGGAGATTTTAGAAATTCCACTAGTTGAAATCATGAGTCAATTGAAGCTCGCGCGAGAGACTGATAGGTCTTGGGTTCGATGCGCTCTTCTGAGGAGTCCCATACTAGGACGAAACGGCCGTCCAGGGCTTCCAGATTTTCCATGGTGGTCTAACTTCAATTGACTCATGATTTTAACTAGTAATAACTGATGATCAAAATAAAAGACTTCTAACCATTAATTAGCTATTGAGTAGTAATATGTGATTATTAGGACTTTCATAATCACATTCTTTGCGTGTTTAACACTATCGATTAAAAACTGGCAAGAGTCTGTAGTTGTCTATTGTAGATATTCAGTATAACAACTGATCCGTCTTTTCATCTATACGTGCATTCTAAGAGAATCGCCTCAACATAGTTATGTCACAATTTATTAGTATATTTGATAGGTGATTGACAGCGGAATCCAGGAGACGAGTTTCGTTCTATTTATGACTTTTCAATTGAATGTACCTAAAGAAGATCTATTCAGTATTCAAAACAGTGTTCTTATGTATATTGAAGTATCTGTCAAGACAAACATGAATCCATTTGTAATCTAAACAAAATCTAATCAAATTCACTTAAATATTTACTATTAAAATAGAATTATCCCCATCCTCATTCACTATTCATGTATCTAAACAGCCTCATCTTCTTAAAAGAGAATCAATGAAATTTATTGATAGTATCGATTTATATCACTTTCTTTTCTTTTCCCGGTTTTCTTTCCTTTCAAATTAATCTTTATTAAAACTTTATTACCGATTTTATAATCGATTTGTAATATGACTGGAATATAACAAGTTATAAAACTCATTGTACTGTCAATAGTTCTTCTTAAATGTCAATGTTAAGTAATAGTAGATTTATTTTAAGGGAAAAAACATGGAGAACATTTTATGGTTATCGTTTGTTTATTTATTTATTTATTTACCCTTTTATACAATCGATTTTATTGATATTTCACTTAATCAATATTTACAGTAACAATATCATAGTGAACAATATATTCAAAGGAGAATTTATGTATATATTTAACTAGAGAGAAAAGGAGAACTATATTATTTTTCATTGTTCTTTTATTATACAAAGTATAAGATATGTGCTTTATGAATTTGTAATGTATCCTATTCTTAATGTTCAGCCGTTCAGTGCATTCAGATTTTCAATGATTATCTAACATCAATCAATTCATGATCATAATCAAAAACTTAATAATCTCAATAATCCCATATTGATATATGCAATATCTAGTGAGAATTATACTCTTCTGTTAGACGGTAACACATTAAATGAAAATGTTCAATGATATTTCTTTGTTGAACATTAAACAATGTGCTTTTTACAACTTATCTTCATCATAAAATAGCGAATTTTCTTTCTTTTTTTCTCAATAATTTAGGTTGTTAGTATGATTCAGATTTATTCACTGTTTATTAGTTGATGAAGGATTATGGATTTACACTGTCTAGGAGTCATATACTAGAATGAAATGGCTATTTAGTGATTCCAGGTTCCTAATAATGGTCTAATTTAGATCGGTTTATGATTTCAATAAGACTAGAAAATTATGTAGGTTAGAGAGAGGTTTTATGGATATTATAGTAATTTAATTGTTGAATTCATAACCTAATTGAAGCTAGATCACCATACTAGGATGAAACAGCCGTTCAGTGATTTCAGGTTCTGCTAATGGTCTAATTTAGATCAGTTCATGAGTTTAATAAGACTAGAAACTTATGTAAGTAGTAAGTCGTTATAAATAATCACTTAATTGGTAATCTCTTGTGAGATAGGAATTCACTGAAGACAACGTTGTACGGTGGCGCAACTTCGTAGATTGGTTGAAATTAGACATTAACACCGTTGGATGTCGGCTCAGTGGTCTAGTTGGTTAAGCGCCTGGCGCGAGACCGATAGGTTCTGGGTTCGAATCTTGAGGGGTGCGGGATCGTGGATGCACGCTGTTGAAGAGTCTCATACTAGGACGAAACGGCCATCCAGTGCCTGCAGGATTTCCATGGTGGTCTAGCTTCAATTGATTCATGATTTCAACCAGTGAAATTTCTAAAAATCTCCACAAAACCCATTCTGATAATTATAAAGTTTTACTTTTTATTCAAAACACAAATACAAACAAACTTCGACTGATGTTTAGAATTAAGTGATTATTCTATTTTACATATAGTCAGTAAATAAATTGTAGGTTGGAGAATGCTGGTCGGTGGCCTATACTCCATTGGATGGGGCGGGAAGGTAACAGGCGTAAGTAAAAGTAAAGTAAGTAAATCAGTTCTTTTCACTAATGAGTTAAACCAAAGAAACATTTAAATTCACACGATACTAGTTCATTTTTGTGACTAACAAATGCCTTTGTTTTAGGTGAATAGATTTATATTTAATAATGTAGCTTTTAAACTCTACATATAATTTGTATTTATCACAGTAAGTATTTGAATTGGTAATGTGAGGTTTCAATCCTCAGTCATCACTTCCTAGGTTCAATTCTCTTTGTAAATATTCTATTTTAAGTAGTCTATAATATGTCTACTACCTTTGTGCGAAGCTTATATTTAAAGACTTAACAGAAACTCAATAATTTAAAGGTTAATAACTCATTGTAAAGTTTAAATATCCTCAGTTCAATCTGTGGTAAGGTTATGAATGACCACTTTTATAGAGTTCCTTTACTCAGTTGTCTAGGAATCCTTGAATTTCACCAATCATCTAATTTAAATCAGTTCGTCATGTAAAACCGATAATACTTTACATATGATTAAAATGATTATATCCCTTATTTTAAAAAAAGGGTTAATGGATTATAATACTTACAGGAAATGCATTTATATCACAAATTAATGAATCTTCTTTAATACTTTGACAAATTTGTTTATTTTGTATTTGATGTTTAATAAATTTCGATTGGATAGATGATGTATTATTTAAATTATCATTTTTATTAGAGTATGATTCTTTCATAGAATTTCTTCTGAGATCACTATTTCTAGACGAAGATCGTAAATATTTTTTATGGGAAATACAAAGTTTGAAAGAATTATTCGAATCATGTTTGAATTCATCTTCCCGTTCTTCTTTTTTCTCATTCTCATTCTCATCATATTCGATATGTGGATCATTATCATAATCATTATCACCAAGTTTTGATCCTCCTCTCCTTTTTGGTCTTCTACTCCCTCGATATATTTCTCTTCAAAATTATATTCTTCAGTTGATTTAATTTTAGATGGTGAAATAGGAGAACTTATGGATGACAAAGAATTATTATCTTCGGAACCAGATAATGATAATTGATTTACTATGTCACTTGATACTGGACTTTGTTCTCTAACAGCTGGGCATGATTTTTTATGATAATAATATGATGCACCCCAACGATAACGTTTTGAACAGCCAGGACAACAATATTTTCCTTCAGTACTATGTTTACCTTCTACATGTTGTTTAAGTGATAAACGAGAACTAAATTCTTTACCACAATGATAACATGATTTTGGTGAATTAACTAATGTTGATATTGTTGTAGATATAGAATTGATATTCTCTGGACTATTATTAGAATTATTTGATTGAGAATGATAATCTAATCGATCATTATCAATAACATCAATTGTAGGACTTGAAGATATTTGAAATGATGATGTTTGTGAAGGAGAATTTAAGTGATTTTTTGGAATTTGACATGCTGAATCTTGTAATTCAGGACATTGATTATCAGTCATACTTGAAGCATTCGTTAAAACATTAACCATTGTTGTTATGAATGAATTATTTGAGAGTTTATAGTTACTTGTCTATCTGATAGTAGATTATTTTCAATTTGATATAATGAATTTAATGGGCTTCTATTTGGTTCATTTGGGGATTCCTTTAAATCAATATTATTTTTATGTAATTGATCCGTTTCATGATTGTTCTTTGAAGAATTCAATTGATCTATTTGAACAAAAGTACTAATTTCATTATAATTCGTTTTTTCATTGATTTTTTCTTCATGTTTTATTGATTCTTGTTGAATGTTTGTTTCATTCAATGAATTATAATTATCATTTGAAGTTATTAGATTGTTAACTATTGAATTTTTACATTTTTCTGATTGTTCATGATGAGTATCATCATTCTGTACATCATCTCGATGATGAAATTTATTTGAAATAACTGTAGTATCAAATGGAAAAAGTGATGATGTTTGTTTATACGATGTCATCATTGGCGGTGATGGTGATGATAATGATGATGACGGAGATGATAACAATGTTGTTACTGTTGTGGTTGTTGGTAGAACTGGGAATTCAGATTGACTTAATGTACTTGAAAATGACTGTAGTACTAAATTTTTTAAAAAATTACAATTAGATATATGAGATATGTAACTTGATATTTCATTAAAGCGCACTCCACATACACATAATAGATTATTTAATATATTGACTTGTGAATTGGAGGCATCTATAGCATGATTATTATTTGTTGGCGAAGATAAACTTGACATTGGTGATGATGATGCCGTAGTAGTTAGTTTTGAAGCAATTGATGACAAAACACTATTGAATGGAAAATTTAACTCTGGCTGGAAAGAAGAAGGTTCAGGCAAATAGTTACAATCAATTGATTCATTTGAGTTTGGCATTAATAACGGTGGTACAAAATGTGATGATTGAAAAATTGATTGATTTGTAAATGGTGGCAATAAATTTGAACGATTGATTGATGAAAATGATGACAATGACTGATTAAATAAATTGGAACCGAACTGAAGTCGTGTAGATGATGAAGATGTCGGTAAAGACGGGAGTGATATTGAAGGTGATGGTGTATTCATTGGATGATGATAAGGTGGTACCATCGTCAACGAAGTTGCCGTTGTTGTAGCCGTTGAAGATGACGTGAAAGAATTAGTAAATCCTAAAGGAGGCGGTGGTATATTTGAAAATGGTGGGATTTGAAAATGCATACTCATTGCTGCTGCCGCTGCAGCAGCAGCTGCTAACGCGGTAAAATTATTTAAATGTGGTGGTGGCATTAAAGTTGCATCATCGTCATGATTATTATTATTACTGTTATTATGAAATATATTTGAATTGTTAGACAATTCCATTAAACTTGTTGATGAATTTGAATTAAATGGAGGTAAACACAAAGAATGTCCATATGATGAAAGCGTTTCGTTCCCATTTAGATTACCGTTGGAATTTCTTAATGATGTTAAATTATTATAGAATGTATCATTCATTTGTGAATTTATTGAACGTAAACTTGTAAGTGAATCTGATGTAATTGGGAAATTTTTTCTAATATCTGAATAATTAAGATTATGATGATGATGATGGTGATGATTACGTTTCATTGAACTATTATTACTATTATGTTGATTATTATGAGTAGTACTTGTTGACATTGTTACAGTTATTGTAGTATTATTTATATCATTATTTGTACATGCAGTTGATGTTGTAGGTCGTTTTTTACATGTACGCTGATGATGATAAAATACTGGTGGCCAACGATATTTTTTAGCACAATAACGACATGTATATTTTGGTGGATAATGTATATGCATATGTTGATCTAATAATGCTTTTGATTTGAACGCTTTAATACAATGACAACATTTAAATGGTCTTGACAAATCTGTTATATTTTCAATAGATGTTGTTGTTGTTGATGATGGTAGTGGTAAGTTATTCATTGAATTATTCTGCTGAGATTGATGTGATTGTCGATGATGTTGATCGTGATGATGATCAATTTTTAATTCTTCCATACGACCATGATAAAGAGGTGCTGGATGACTATTTATATGTTGATGTGTATTGAATTCACTCATATGTAATGAATTTACAGATGTAGTACAATTATAGGTATCGTTATTACTAAGATTTAATTCAATCATTGGAGAATCTATTGAACTATCCAATGATAATGTTGTTGATGAAGATTTGGTTGTATCATTGTAGTATGATTTACCAAGAGATTGTAGATTTGATAAGAAATGTGAATAGGAATTTTGTGAATTTATACCATGTGATGAGTATGGTGAACATAAATTGACATTTTTATGATTATAATTTTTATTATTATTGTCATTATTATCAGAAAGAGTTGAATTACATGGTAAACGACTTGACGACGAAAAGTGATTATTATTATTATTAGTAGTAGTATTAGTAGTAGTCAAGTAATTATGAAACGTTGATGATCCACATGATGATTTTAATAAATCATTGAAATTTTTCTCAAAATCAAATGTTGAATTATTAATTAATCCATTCAATAATGGGGATACACATGTACCATGATTATACTGTTGTGATTGGTTAATTGTCGAAGGTGTTTGTGTATTTTTCATATGTAAATTTAAAGAATTCATATTATTACTATTACTATGATTAATGATATCAGTAATATTAGTAGCAGTTGTATTAGTAGTATTACATTCACTAGTTATGGTGCTTCCAATAATATTGCCAATATTTCCAGTAAACGATATAAATTTTGGACATTCAGTTAAGTGATTAATTAATTCACCAGTATGTTGAAAACCAGTTTGATGGCATGCATTACATATTAATTTTTTATCTAACATAGAAACATCATGATATTGATCATTGCTAGAACGTATTCTTGACGGAGATGATGTTGGTGATGATGATGACGAATGATTTCTTGGAAGGTGATGCATTTGTTTTAAATGATTATAACGTTGACGATGGCTATTTTGATATTGTTGTTGTTGTTGGGATTGATAATGACGATGATCTTTTCGTAATCCTGATTATTTTTTATTGAATAATAATTAGGAATATCACTGGATGACATCATACTATCGGTATTTGTTGATGTTATCATTGTTTTCAACGATGATGATGTACCAGTAGTGATGATAGTATTAGTATTAGTAATAGTAGTAGGTGAAGAGAATCGATCAAAACAATCGGATGAATTTAAACAATTATCAAATAATTGGTGCTTTAAATAATATATTAGTTGATCATATGATTCATTACATTTAGAGCATGTAAATTGGCCAATGTTATCATGTTCCAATTCAAAATGTTTACACAGAACTGATATATCTGTACTTGTGAAAGGACATTGTGGACAACTGACATACGACGATACGTGTCTAATATTAGTAGTATTATTATTACTATTATTATTATAAATATTTAAGGATGATATTATTGATGGTGACGATGTGGAGGATACGCATGAAGAGGAAATTTCATTTGAACGAAATGATAAGTCTAATGCTGATTGGAATAAAATTGAATTCCCTTTGTTATTTTCATTGTTTTTAACTAAAACATTATTGTCATTATTATTATTATTATTGCGAACGCTGTTCATTGAAAAATTATTCAAATTTGCTGATTGAAAACATTTATTCCATTCGGACGACATAACCATTGCTGTATTTTTAGCTATAACTTCAGCGAAATTTGATGCAGTCATCATAAATTCATGACATTGACAAGCATGCTCCATAAATTCACTTGAATCTAACATTGTTCGACCACATGGACATGTAAATTGATTAGGTGAAAAAGATTTGTTATCAATATTATTATTCGTTTGATTTGAATCAAAACGTGCACGTTTCACTGAATTCATAGAACTAAACATCGTTGATGATGATGGTGATAATGATGATGAAGATGATGATGATGATGATTTAGGTGAATTGTTCATGGTTGTCGTTGTAACAGTTGTAGACATTGGTTTAGATGTAGTTATCTTTAATGGTGAAGACATTGATATTGTTAATGATACTGATGGGGATGAACATGATAATGAAGTATCACATGAAAATTTCTGTAAATTATCGTTATCTTCATGAGATAATAATTCACTACTTATTTTATTCAATCTTTGAGTAGTATTGAACTGAGTATTTTCATTCATGTTTCCTCCTTTTTAAAAATAATAATTGTCTTAATTATCAATTATCTTTCTATAAAATGAACAGAATATTTATTTATTTATGTAATAATCATTTAATTAATAGAATCCAATCATTAGTCATAAATTGTATAGATTATATAACCAATCACTGATTATTTCTACAAAGGAGTAAACAATGGTTGATCCTCACAGTATGTAATATATCTATATATATGTAATGAATTCAAAAGAATCTTGTTCGATTACAGTTATTATTCTGGAGGGGTGGAATAACGAATTGTCGATTATATTATAATAATATGTACACCGAATACATTAGAATATATATTTATATATTTCATCTATCTACCTATATATTATATAAATGCTTGAAATATCATGACAATAAATTCGGTCTTCTCTACACTAAAGAAATGATCTCTCTACCCTCACCTATATAATTCTTGTCCTATCTAATTTAATACTATATCTATATGTACACTAAATAAACAAGCCTGTCTTGATATCACCACCCACCCACCCACTACAATTTCTCTCTGGGTTTTTTTTTCTTTCTGTTCCATCATACAGAGAAGTCGATGTAATAGTAATAATAATAATACATAAATTGTCTACCCTTGACATGTATGAAAAATGACTATATTGCATGTCCACAATGAATAGTTGTATACCTAAATGGTTTAAGTATATTTTCACGTATGTATAAAAATGTATGTATATTTGTATAGATATATAGATATTACTTACTTAATTTACCGTGTTTTATATGAAGTTTAAGTGTACATAACATTTATATTGCGATCGGCTAGACACATAATGACCTTATTATTACTTTGAAGCTACATTTAATGTCTTAAATTTTTAACTCTATAACAATTCAGACCCCTCTATCCCTTGAGATAGTAAATGCATTAGTAGTTGTTATAGTACTAGTAAGTATATGCATGTATGTGCACATATATATATATATATATTATATATTCATTGTGTAAGACTAGACATATTCTTAAGAATGACGAGTAATTTTGCGATTCATTTGAAAACAGTGGGAAGTGTTGTTATAGTCACTAATAAAATATGTACATACTTAACAATATAAACCATACATACTTACATAGTTAGGCATACAAATTCAAAAGGATTGAAGATATAATCTGTATTATAATGATTACTGTTACTATTTGTGGAAAAGTATTAGGAAAAATTCTTGATACATTTTTAAAGTCGGTGTTTATGTTATGAATGTGTACATTCTTATGGAAAAAAGTATTTTGGTTGGTTAAATTGTAAATAATGATGCGTTACTAGGAATACACAAATGGAATGATATTCTTTTTTTTTTAAAGAAATGATTCCAATAGTTGAAATCATGCGTCAATTGAAGCTAGATCACCATGGGAAGTCTGGAAGCACTGGACGGCCGTTTCGTCCTAGTATGGGACTCCTCAGCAGTGTGCATTCACGATCCTACTCCCAGAGATGTTCGAATTCAGGACCTATCAGTCCCGCGCGCGAGTGCTTAATCATAACACCACTGAGCCGGCATCCAACGGTGTTGATGCCTAACTTCAACCAATTCACGAAATTGCGCCACCGTACACCATTATCTTCAGTGAGTTGATATCTCATAAAAGACCAGGTTGAACTCCACTGGTCACGGCTTCTAGGTTTTCCATGGTGATCTAGCTTCAATTGACTCATGATTTCAACTACTGAATTTATTAAAATCTCCACAAAACCCCTTCTGAAAATAATTATTCACTTGGTATTATTTTGCTTGGATCTTCCCATTGAGGTTTAAGACGGTAATTGATCAGTCTGTTATTGGCAAATGAGTCCCAGAGTGAACATCAACTATGCGATGCAGGTACATCCAGCTGACGAGTCCCAAATAGGACGAAACACGCGTCCTGGTTTCCACTGTTAGCTACTATCCACCTTTGCTTAGAAATAATCATTATTGTCAGAATGAGGGTTTGTGGAAATTGTAGTAATTTAATGGCGGGATTCATAAGTTGATTTAAGCTAGACCACCTTGGAAAACTTGGAAGTACTGAACGACCGTTTCGTGAATGCTCACAGGTGAGAAGTCCCACAGTAGAACGAAGCGGTCGTTTAGTGCTTCCATGTTTTCCAAGGCTGTTTAGCCTAAGTCGACTCATGAATCCAACCATTAAATAATTATTAAACAAAAAAACCCGTTACATAATTAATTCAATACTACTATCGAATTAATGAATAAACTCACAAAAACAGAGACACTGTAAAAATCGATTTGATGGAATTTTCAGCTATTATTATCATCATCGTTATTTTGAAATATGGTATTATAGTCACGAATAAAAGAGTTTAACTCACTAATTGAGCATTATTGAAACCCTCGGAGCACTGAGTGGCTGTTACGCCCTAGTAAGGGACTCATCAATACTGTGCACTCACGACTACACTGGGAATCGAACCCGGAACTTTCGTTTTCACACTCAAACGTCTAATCACAAGATCGATTTACCGACATCCAATGATGTAAATGTCCAACTTTAATTAACTCATGATTTATATCATGAAAACTACATGATTTCCACAGAACTCCACTATATCAATGAAATAGTTCACTACAAATATCTATGTAGAATAGTTTTGTCTGTAAAATAATCATATTATATAAAATAATGCAGGAAAATATGCCTAAATTCCAATTAGGTACCTTGAAGCTGCTTTGTGAAATTACTAAAATAACCATAATGAGGAATCTATCAAATAGTATTAGGGCTGTGATATTAAAACTACCGTAGATTTTCTTTCTACCCATATGAAAAACTTTGAGGGTTTGAAAAATAAATTGCATATCTATTAGCTAGTTTAAGTATTATCGAAATATTTGCTCAATATGTTTTGGTACACACTTTATTTGCCCAAATATATAAAGACATAACATACTGACGAACAAATTACTTATGGATAAAACCATGTTCAAACTTGAATCCAAACTACAGATAGTGTGAATAACTAGGGTCCATTGTTATTGTAAGAGTAATCACTGCATAACCTATTGGCTTTTATATTCATCTTAATAATGATGGATTACATCATTTTTAAAACTACTAATATTATTAGGTGACTACAAAGTAGATAATCTGTGAAAAAGTGTACATCGATATGGGGATGAGTACGAATAATAAATTTATTCATGTTGATGGATATGTGACTAACAGTGGATTCCAGTGATGTATCTACATCGTAGTGTAGATATTTAGAATAAAATTTATACCGAATACCTGTTGTTTCTAATGTCAACTACTGTCCTTAATATCAAATCTATACTGATAGTTTCAACAGGATTTTAATGAATATTAATCGATGGATGTGACGATTCCTTCTGAGATTAGTCAGATAGGAATTTATAAAAGATTTTCTTAGTATGTGACTGTATTTTGGATGATTTTCCATGATTGTGTCAATTTTTAGAAGATCTAAAAATCTAAAGTATACTAAGAGATATCCATTTTTATAAACAGATTTCACTAAAACCAACGGTAAAATTAGTTGAGGCTAGAAATTTGAACCATATGGTACCGGCTTCATGGTCTAGAGGTTTAGTATTTACAATGAGATCGACTAGGTAGTCTTATACTAGAACAAAAAAGTTGTTCAGTGCTTCCTGGTTTTCAATGGTTATCTAAGATCAATATTTTATGTAAGACATAAAAAAGCTTACCATAACATTGATTTTTCACATGAGCCGACATTAACTGTAGATTTGTAGAAAAGTAAGAAACATTAAGATAACCGTTTACTCCAGGTTCTTAATTATTACAATCCTGGACTATTAAGTATTGTAATGAAAACTTATTTACTACTATTGGAAAGAGCTCACTTCTTTCTTATGAAACAATCATCAGTCAGTTAATTATGCTTAAGAGTTTGTCTGTTTGTATTCTTCCATGAATAGATGAAGTAGTTATATGAAAATTTTTGTACTCATCAATGTAAGGTTGAATATAAACATTGTTGGCTACATGAACTCCATGAATATTTGTCTTCTTATTGTTAATATTTACAAGGAAACACAATAAAATATCACCAATGGGTTAAGTGTTCCCACAGTATATCACAGATGAATTTCATATAGATTCAAGTAAACATTTCTCATATTCTGCTGTAACAAGAATTTATTGAAATTGTATGTTCGACGCTTTGAATATTTCAACAGCTGACAAACTGTAGTCTGAAATCTAGTTAGAAAGTTTACTTATCAGAGTTTTCTCTTTTTAGTTTTCCCTTTTAAACAATCTGTTAATAATTTAGTGACCATTATCAATCATTACTTGTATTCTTTGTAAGTACAACTCAATTGCTGTATTTTTTTGCGAATTGTCAGCACTAAAATCTTGTGGACCAGAGAACTGTGAAGTATTCTCTTACAAAAGAAGATCCCCAGAGGCCAAACCCTGAGTTTCTCCTTAATAAAAAATACTCTTAGAACCAAAATGATTACAGAAGATATATAAAATCAAATCAGTGGAATCAAATGTTTATGAACCAAATCGACCCCTCTTAACAAGCGACTACCTATATCTAACTTTGTGATCAGTAGTGATAATCGCTCCATCCATTGTCTGCAGGAAGCTTGCTTGGATTATTGTATTAACCATTTGAAAATGTCACCATAACAGCCACATACTTATGAGTAACCTAGAGTCTAGTAGTTTCTAGTAAATCACAAGAGCATTTCTACTGGTTTTTCTCAGTTTAACAGTGTAAATAATTTTAATGTTTAGTAAATTTTCTGTTTCTGGTTGATTGGTTTGTATATTATGTAATACTATGTCTGTGTATGTATTGGAAACCTTACTGTAATTAATTTCGTCTCATCTGTTAGTATGTTTTGATTTCACATTAGTGTCATTGCTAATTATTACTGATTGCTTACATTATTTGGTGTAATCGCATCATGTGTGCTTACTAAGGTGATGGCCAACATTTACTTTTGTCTTAACCCC